TTGTGCACGTGTGTCCTGTGTGTGTCCCGTGTGTGTGCTATACGCAGTGCTGATGGACTGATGCAGAGGGGGTATCACTGACAGACTGACAGGCCAGTAAACCCAATCTGACCTGTTCCTCCTTGCTCTTCTGTGGCCTCCGTCTCCCAGTCTCCCTCAGACTCCAGTTTCCTCTATTTCCTGCAAATCTCACAAGCCTTTATAGAGCTGCCGCTAGTCACTCAAACAGGCAGCTTTAACCCACAGAGAGTACGGCAGTATTGACCTCACCCAGGTTCAGCTCTCTAGTCTTTGAGAACACAAGTTGGATGTACTGGTCACAGTCTCTCATCAGTCCATACTGTGGGAATAATGACAGCCCATTAGACTGATGTGTTTACATGACTATTTCAACAGCACACAACAAATAATATAGTATTTAAGTTACTGATAAATGATTAAAAAAAATATAAAACTAAATTTAAGTATGTTACAAATGCAAGTGAAATTTACAATAAACATACACAAAAAAACTCACTTAATCATTCTTCACTATTATTATAACTTAAAATATTAATGATAAAGTCAAACTATGAAACTACACAAATGGAATTATGCAATGACCAAAAAAGTAAAATCAAAACTGTAAAATCACTCTTACATTTGTTCTGCAAAGAAGCCAACTTTTGCCTTGAAAAGTTTGGCACACTCAACTTTACATTGAGTTTATGCTGACTTTCTTTGTTTTATACTATATAATAATAATAATAATAATAATAATAATAATAATAATAATAATCAATTATGAATTGATTATTAAAAAGGGGTTATTTTTATGTATATTTGTTATTTATACAAAAATCTGTACATAGGCACAATTTATAACTGTCTACAAAACTAATTTAATTTAAGCACAAACCTATAGATCAAAAGGTCTTTCAAATCATGAGAAACATTCATTAAGTCCAAACTTTTGATTGATATCTTACATTCATTTTCTTTTAATGCTTTGGTATTGTTTTATTGTTATTCACAAATTAACAAAAGTCAGACTTTTATCATTGGCAACACAAGGATTCACTACCACTACACTTTTTGGAGAACAGCTGTATTTTTATTTACAAATTAGCGGAATATATTTTACTTGCTGTTCTGTAGACCTGGCCGGTACCATTTTGTTTAAATCATGGATAATGTGTCCGTAAAGCCCAGTGTTTACTTTGACAAACAAGTTTATAAGATGAATTGAGGAATTCAAACTGTGTATACCAAGAGGAGCAGAAATGTTTAGTCACGGCGGAATATCTGACACATGGGACTACCGAAGGACTGAGCCTGAGGGCTGCTGGGTAAGAGAACGGACAAGCTTGTGTGGGTGGCTGGAAATACACCAATGGCAAACAGCAAACAACTAGAGTCCATGAGCTGATCACAAAGTCTGACCTAAAAATATAATGAGAAAATCCCCTCTCACTTTGCAAAAGCCCTTCATGGATGTCCAGGTTTTTTTTGTTTGTTTTTTTATATCGAGGTCACAAACACATAAATGAATGCATAGTTTAACATAGTTTAAAGGGATACTCCACCTAAAATTCTTTCATCATTTACCCACCCTCATGGCTGGAAGCAATGGTTTATAGTTGAAAAAGTTTAAAATATTAGTATTTTTTTCTCACACAGACCTATCATTTTGCTTCTGAAGACATTAATTAATCAACTAGGGTTGTACACTGAAAAAAAATTTATTTAGTGAAGATTGCAAAGATTATTGGAGTATGTTTTACAAGAAAATACTTTTCTAGTCTTACTTCAAAATGTAATGTTTATTTCAGTGTGTCAATTGTCATTTCCTTGTGATTATATGTGACATTTACTAACAATTTATGAGTGAAAATTGTTTCAAAGTTAAAAAAATGTTTTTCAGTGGCATGGATTACAGTGTGTTCGTTTTGCGTTGTCTCACAGATATGGATTATTTTTCTGAAAATCTCAGTTTGTGTTCCACAAAAGAAAGAAAGTTATATACATCTGGTACGGCATAAGGGTGAGTAAATGATGAGAGGATATTCATTTTCAGGTGGAATATCCCTTTAACTTTTAGTTACACTGTGAACAACCAGCAGTTACAATCAGTCAACAGGCATATAAGAGTCAATGTGAGCAGTGTGAGAAGGGTTCAACAGTAGGTTTGCCCCCTTTGTCAGAGACCGAGGGGGCCAGTCTAACTGCGTTTCATGATTAATGAGAGAGGGAAATGGGGTCATGTTGTATTAAGAAAATGTGTGTTTAAACCCAAAACCGGCACAGAGCTCTAGACTAATGCATCAGTTATCGACTGGACACCTGAGAGCGAGAGGCTGTTACACCGGTCCCTACGGCCTGCAGGCCCATCTATCCACACAGAGCTCCCTTTACCTTTCTGTCTCAGTCACTCCTTTTTTTTCCTTTATATCCTCTTTTTTTTAGCTCTTTTTCACTCTCGCTTTCTTGCAATCTCTCTCTCTATCCAGCATTTCCCTATTGTCCATTCTTTCTCTACTCAATAACACAATAGGCTCTGTGTACGTGCGACTGCATGTTTATAGGGAAGCCATGATGGTTAACACTCAGTCTGCTCTCACTCCCCTCAGTGAACAGCAATTTGATCCTGATGACTTGTTGGGGTACAACGGCATCGCCTCGGGTCCCTACAGCTGTGATTACACTAACTTCTCTCTGCATTTACTTCATTCTCTGATGCTAGTAGCAATAATATTTGCAGATATTTGAGGTATAAGCAAGTTTCTCAATGAGTTTTTTTTATGTCATAACCTGGAGCTTTTACAATTATATGTTTTGTTGAAAACTAAAGTCACATAAATTTGTTGCAGATCTGTTTTTGGTTTGCTCAAGTGAACCATCATTTTGATGCATAGAGTTCACGTTGCAAAGTTCAGTGGTAAACCAAATATGGAGGGTAGATAGCGACTAAACAAACAACGACTGATTCAGACGAGCTTCTCATCCTCAGCGGAGGCCCAAACAAACGAAAGCATTATCGTACTGTGCCGAGATACCCAACAGGGAGTGGAAAAACAAATAATAGAGAACCATGACATGAAAGTCTGTGCAATGGGTTGCACTGAAATGAAAACCTGGCGTTTACAAAAACAGATTTGATAACTGTCTTTTCATCAATATGACAATTACCATAAATTGGTTATGAAGAGTGAAAATTTCTGGTTTTGATATATAGTTTTCCTCCTCAACGGAAACTTCTGCTGTAAGGAACAATCAGCATATTTATGCCATAATGAAGTTTGACTGGGACTTCATCAAAGAAGAAGATGATGATAACTTGCAGAGGGAGTTTGAAAATTTGATTGTTTATCTTAACTTTTGCCTTCCACCCTACTATCATTATTTCTTCTTTCTCATAAACAAAATGTTAAAAACTGTTGACCCTAGGATGACAAGACCTGCTGGACTAGACTACGTACAACTTAAAACCACACTGCCATTATATTTCACAGATTAATTTTTTTAAACTAAGAATTTTGAAGTGTTTTAAACAAAGAGGGGTTTTTTTTTTTGAAGGGAGCATAATATAAAAACCATTGTATAACTGCATTATATCAATATTATAACATAAGTATATCAGAATGAAATATATTTATTTTGCGATGTGAGCCGGCGCTGAAGTATACAGTATCATATTGATTTGCTCATAGCTGTCTTGCTCTTAGACAGATGATCCTGTTTTATTGGATCATTTTCTCAAACTATACATTAGGAGGCAGACAGGATCAAAAGCAAACACCAAGAAAGGTCACTCTAATGATTTCTGTTATGTTGGGAACATAAAAGGGAAGCAAAGCACTCAGATTAGACAAAAAGATCAGTTATCTCATATTTCTCACATCTCACATTTTTTAAGTTGTCTGTGCTGTACAACACAAACTACAAATATTCAGAATACAGTCCTAGGCACAATATAAATAGAATACATCGTCTTAG